TACTCAACTCAACCTGGGTGCCCAACTCTCGCTGAACCGCTCTCCAGAAATGCAAGGTAAACTGCGTACCCCGATCCGAAATGATAGATAGCGGCACCCCATGAAGGCGAACAATCTCCCTGATATAAATCTCGGCTAACCTTTCAGATGAATATGTGGATGCAACACGAACAAAATGCGCTGACTTGGTCAGCCTATCAACAATGACCCAAACTGCATCAAACTTCTTCTGAGTCATCGGAAGCCCTGTAACAAAATCCATCGTAATCCTCTCCCACTTCCACTCGGGAAGTTCAATCCTCTGAAATAGACTACCAGGTCTTTGATGCTCGTACTTAACCTGCTGACAATTCAAACACCTAGCCACATGCGCAACGATGTCTTTCTTCATCTTGCTCCACCAATAGTGCTGTCTCAAATCCTGATAGATCTTCGCGGTGCCAGGGTGAATAGAATACCGAGAACTGTGGGCCTCCGCTAAGATCAACTCTCGAATCCCATCAACATTGGGCACACAAACTCGCCCCTGCAATCTCAATACGCCATCATCATCTAATGTTACTTTTTTGGCACCTCCACGCTGCACCGTGTCTCTCAAGACACATAAATGGGGATCATCGAATTGTCGATCATGGATACACTCCAATAACGAAGAACGAGCGACCGTGCAAGCTAATACTCTAGTAGGCTCAGAAATGTCCAACCTTACAAACTGATTGGCCAAAGCCTGAACATCCAAAGCAAGAGGTCTCTCACCGACCGGAATATAAGCAANACGTATATGTATATACCTTAAAATAGTTAATTTAAAGCACTTGACACCCTGAATACTAGTAAAAGTCTTTAGAAGGCACTGGTTGAGCAGAATATTATGCGTCCGTCGCATAAAAATCCTGGGTCCGCCTCTGGATAGAAGACCAACATCGTTGATCTTTCAATTGTTTTATGCAGAGGGAGTTCAGCTTATACCTTGGGCCTCTGGATAGAAGATTGATCTTTCAATTGTTTTATGCAGAGGGAGTTCAGCTTATACCTTGGGCCTCTGGATAGAAGATTGATCTTTCAATTGTTTTATGCAGAGGGAGTTCAGCTTATACCTTGGGCCTCTGGATAGAAGATTGATCTTTCAATTGTTTTATGCAGAGGGAGTTCAGCTTATACCTTGGGCCTCTGGATAGAAGATTGATCTTTCAATTGTTTTATGCAGAGGGAGTTCAGCTTATACCTTGGGCCTCTGGATAGAAGATTGATCTTTCAATTGTTTTATGCAGAGGGAGTTCAGCTTATACCTTGGGCCTCTGGATAGAAGATTGATCTTTCAATTGTTTTATGCAGAGGGAGTTCAGCTTATACCTTGGGCCTCTGGATAGAAGATTGATCTTTCAATTGTTTTATGCAGAGGGAGTTCAGCTTATACCTTGGGCTACACGAATGTGTATTGCAGTAGACGTTGCGCGAGGCTTGTCCTTCTTACACGGTCTTGAAGCAAATGTTATTTACCGCGATCTCAAGGCTTCAAACATACTACTAGATTCAGTAAACTCTCCAAATCTGAAACAATGATTAGCACTAGAAAGCTGTTTCTCCAAAACTTATAGATTGAACTTGTGCAGGATTTCAATGCCAAGCTTTCAGATTTTGGACTGGCAAGAGATGGTCCTAGTGGAGACAGAACTCATGTCTCAACCAGAGTTATAGGTACTATGGGCTATGCTGCACCAGAATATGTTGCATCAGGTTTCTTTCATTAAGCTCAACTTATGTTTTTCACTAGTTATCTTGTAATTCTGATAATCCAAATTGAGTCATTTATTTATTCTTTTTCCTTACTGATATAATGTATATAAACTGACAGTATGCGGTGTAACTTAACCTGTTGTAGCAGGTTGTCCACATTATTTTCCATGTAACCTGTAGTTATTTTTAGGTGACTTGGTAGCGTAAAATTCGTTTACACTGTCGGCATATAGAAAAGTGTGGCAACTTTCTTTTCGTTTTTCTTTTTTTTATATTGGATTCATGTTACATGCACAGATAGTATAAAGATTTTTACATGACCAGTATAGATTTACATGTGATTGCAGGTTAGCTATCATCTTTTACCAGTAATACTTACCATAAAATTTAGTAGTATTTACCATATCAATGATCTAATCGCGTACATCGTCAGTGCATAGAAGTATCTGATATTTTGCAGGCCTTTTCACTAATATTTCCAACTCAACTTATTCCAAACAGGTCACTTGACACCAAAGAATGATGTATACAGTTTTGGGGTTGTTCTATTAGAGTTGCTCTCCGGGAAACGAGCAACGGGTGATGAAAATGCAGGAGGGGTTGATGAAACATTGGTGGAATGGGCAACACCATTCCTAAGTGATAACAGAAGAGTACTGAGAATTATGGACACAAGATTAGGAGGACAGTACTCAAAGAAAGGTGCCCAAACTGCAGCTGCCCTTGCTCTGAGGTGCCTCGACGTCGATCCGAAACTTAGGCCAACCATGAATGAAGTTCTAGCAACACTAGAGCTTGTGCAAGCACCAAAAAATGTCACTAATAAGAGTTCAGAACAGATTAGACAATGCAGATGACAAGATAAGTTCACCCTATTCTCATAGTTATCAGTAGCAGGAGAAATGTCCATCATGTGAATAGTCATTTACAGGGGTGCATGGATGACTAATATATACATATAAAGGATTTTTATTCAGGATAGCTGCCTTAAAAATAATAACCAAAAATATATTGAATGGAAGTTACTTTCCAAATAGAAACAACAGAAGAAAAGATGAGACCATTGAGAATAATTATAAACCTATCTGTTCAGAAAATGAGAAAAAAGGAAAAAAAGTGCTACCTTGTTTACTAGTTTCTCTTTAGAAACTAACCATCTTGTCCTCAGAATAAAAGATTTACCATACATATTTTTATCCTTATCTTTTTTTTTGTTTATTATCAGGCTCTAACATAAAATTCAAGGTAAAACTACGTACAATAGACCTAACAGAGCCCTTCTCGGATCCCATGCATACCAAGAGCTAAGTGCACCGAGCTGCCCTATATGTTTTGGCTGGCACAGGATTGGGACGAATTGTTTCTAGGTCGAATAGAAATGAAATAAAGATTTTTAAAGAGAAACAAAAATCTAAAGAATCCAATATACTGTATACAATTGCAATCACATTTGTCAAAAGTGATACAGATTATACAAACTTCACCTTAATAGGAGCAAACTCTGATGTCTGTCTAACACCTACAACTAATGAAACAATTTGAGAAATCCTTCTATGGTAATTCTCTTATAAGAGAACAAAGTCCCAGAAAAGATGGCCTCAAAAGAAAAACAAAGGAAGGAAAAACAATAGTAAAGAAAGAAAGAACCACAACAGTTCTTACAATTGGTAGCAACAGAGATTTTAAAAAAATGTAAATTCTATTGCTCTTCACTTTTTCTTTTCCATGTTCTCTTCAGTTTTCCATACAACTTCATCTAAGGAGGTTGAAAGATTCTTGTAGAACTGCATAAAGAAAAGATGGACAAGAAATTGGTTAAACAAATGAAGAAATAAACCTATCTTATGACAGTAGTAATAGCAGTGGACTGATCACTAGCGAAAAATGTTTAAGAAGACAAGAGGAGGATATGTAGAAACTAAATAATAGACCAATCAAAACTACACCTTAATCTTAAATTTGTCGCTATACAAATACCCTGTATGAAAGGGAGCCTTGAAGCATCGGCAAAAGTTGTCTCGGTGTGACCTATAGGTCACTGGTTCTAGCCGTGGAATCAGCCATTGATGATTGCATCAGGGTAGACTGCCTACATCACACCCCTTGGGGTGCGGCCCTTTTGCGGACCCTGCGTGAATGCGGGATGCTTTATGCACCGGGCTGCACTTTTTTACAAATATCCTGTATCTATTCCCCTCAATTCAGATCCATAGGATTCATCTTTAAACAATTTTTATGTTGACCGTCAACCTACCACAGTTCTCCTCCTTTATCCGGTTTGGACCGGCTAGTCGGCTACACTTTCTGAACTCACAAAGGCCAATATGCAATTGCTTTTTTAAAAAAGAATAACCATGTCTCAATCATTTCGAAGGAGCGGATTCTTTCCTCTAATCTTTCAACATGCATACAACTCTTAGTCTTTAAATTGAATGTTATTTTTACCAGTTTAAACCTCAAGTTTGTGTTCCTTCTGGAGCAATTAGTTTGTCATTTTACGAGTCAAACACTACGAATACCTACTAATTGTCCGCACTTCTTTCTGAGTTCAGCATTATCATTTTAATAATATATTGGCAGTTTAGCTGAATATTGTACCTTGTGGAATTCCAAAGTGTCGCCTTTTGCTTTGCGCACCTCAACCATATGAAGAGACGGAGCAACTTGAAATACCTAATTTGAAGATCAAACAATGTTCAGAATAAATAAGAAATATCCACCTTAAAAAAAGGTCAACTAGGAAGCACATTTAAATACCTCAGTGGAAACATTAAGGTTCCCTTTTCGTCCGGCTTTCAGATTTTGAAGCCTCATCTGAGAAACATAAGAACAGTTTAGTGCTTCATTTTCCATTATAATCACTTTTGCATACAGATCATTAAACATATTAGAGCAATCTACATGTGAATTGAATGAATCACTAAATTTCATCGCCACCTTGTAGTTCTTTTTGCTAACATCAAAGCCGAGAGGTTTAGCAGCTTCTTCGATCTTACTGATTATCTCGTTGGCCGGGCATTTAGATGTGAACCTTGTTTCTCGCTTGAATCCCTGAGAGCAACGGTATCAACGCATTTGTCAATATAGGAAGAATGGAACAGTACAAACATCATCGATGATGTTTCCTACAAAGTAGAAAAGCATTTAAAACAAAATAACGTTTGTGACCTGTTCGTCGAAGAGATTGCCAAGGTTAAGTCCCTGTGACATAGAAATTAACTCGAATGCATTCATGGAAGTTGGCTTCTCTTCTTTTTTCTCTGTTACATGATATTCCTGTTGTAACGCCAAGGAATGAGTAACATGTGAGATAAATTTCATACTACAGCCACTTCTTTTCCTCTAAATTCGATACAAAATTTATTGCATTCCATATGTTCGGTATGCTTACTTCAGAGTCTTTGAAGACAGCTTCGACATCATCCAAATTTGCATCTTCTATCTCATCGAAAACAGGTGGTCTATAATCTTTCTTAAACCACTCATCCTCCAAAATTTCAGGGGTGGTAATACGCTGCATAGAATATATATCTCATGAATAAGAGGAAAAAAGGGGAAAATAAGTACATTATTGGGCCACCCTCCAAAATAATAGCTAGCAAGTGTATATGTTTTGTATATTAAGCATAAAAATACATATGATATACATACTGTATACAAAAATATACATAAGTAGTGTATATGTTTTGTATATTTTCGTTAGCACCCGTAGTTATTTCGGCCGACGGGCCAAGAGTGAAAAAAACCCAATGTAATCACAAGCTATAAACCAAGAAGGTTCAGTTGAAATGTCCAGTATGCATACCGTCGTAGGATTTGGATCCAAGATGCGAGTAATTAACTTCATGGCGCTAAAAGAAATCCAAGGTGGGCAAGTAAATTCAGCAGCAGATATCTGTGTAGACCAAGATAGATATAGTGAAACTAGCAAAACACAGAATGATTGAATGGTATGAAATGGTTAAGAAAAATGCTCACTTTGTTATACAGGTTCATGAGATTGGAGTCGTCAAAAGGCAAGTAACCCGCAAGCAGTACAAAGAGTATGACTCCGCACGACCAGAGGTCTGCCATTGCCCCATCATATCCTCGGTCATTGAGTACCTAATAAGGGAGTCCAATTTTTCAGGCTAAGTTTCAATTGATATTTTCTTAATCTTTTGAAGATCTCACGTAAATTTTCGATGTGGTTGGTTATTTCTTTTGAAAAGACTACCAAATTGACCATGTAAGGTTCACATATGTTATGTAGACGCCACTGAAAATGTGAATTCTTTTTCTTTTTTGGCCATATCAAAGTAAGCAAAGGAAGTGAGGTCACTCGATTGAATCGAATAGCTAGAAGTACTATAACTCCTATTTTAACAGAAGCCTTGTTGCTTGTTTTAAAAGTTTTGAAGAGAGATGAAGCATTTGATTTCTAATTACAAGTCCGTTTTCAAGCTAACTGAACACTTTATCTGTTGCTAGTTCTGTTCCAGCAAAATTAAATAGGTCTATAACTATACATGAACACAAACAGAAAGTTACTCAAACCAATTTATTATACCTCAGGAGCAACATAGTTGGGAGTGCCACAGGTGGTGTGCAGTAAGCCATCATCCTGGAAATTACAACTAAAAATAAGAACAATATCTGACTGAATATGTGTCTCGTGACTCTCGTAAAAATGTGACAGATTAAATTTATTCCATAAGAACTGCAACTTGAAGCTTAATTTAAAAGCTAAAATGATCAGCAGACTTGAAATGAAGAGAAGAAATGACTACAACAGCTCAAGACTTCTTCCATTAACAATGACAAGGAAATTTCATATAGTGATATCTTCCCTCAACTACAAACCAGATATCACCAAAATCATAGGCCTCGGAGTTGTAGATACAAGAAAGTAATTGTAATCTTATGTTTATACTGGAACACAAACTGATCCAAATGATTAAGTAATTGGTCCTAAAGGCTGACATATATAACACCCCAAACAACAATAGGTACTAAGGTGCAGAGTTCATAAGTACAAACTTAGAATGCGCAACATGTTCCCGAATGACAACCCAGTGTAGTCCCACAAGTGGGGTCTGGGGAGGGTAGTATGTACGCAACCTTACCCTTACCTTGCAAAGCATGGCTTGCGGGTCTGAAACCAAAAAATCTTATCAGCACCCGGTGATTACATATTAATTAACCATGGTTAGTGATAAAGGTACATATGAAAGATGCATGTAATGTGTTTATTGCATTACTTTAAATACCAGGGGCGGGTAAGTATTTTCCTATCTGACACCATGATAAATTTCAAGATCAATGAGGACTGTAAGGATTTATGGGTTCCCTAAACAAATTCAGTAAGGGCTCAAGTAACTGTGTTTTCACTCCATTACAAAATGATAACCACAAAGTAGAGGAGTTAAATACTTCATTTCATAAGTTGAAGAGTTATGGGAAGTAGAGAAAATAGTTACCCTGACTTGCTGGGATAGAGCACTCAATCCAAAATCAGAAACCTTGAGATTACCAGAAGAATCCAATAGTAAATTCTCAGGCTGCACAGTGGAAAAAAAGTTTTAATTCCCATTTACTGACAGTGCAAAACTTCAGGTTAAAGTGACCTACGACAACATATATGAGATAACTATCTATAATAACCTTAAATTGATAACCTAGAAAGATCATTTACACTGTCAGCGTATATAAGTTAAATCCACAAGAAAAGGTAGGACCGACAGAAGGGAAACAAAGACAGTAGCTCTGGAGCAAAAAGACTAGAAAATAACTTCTTAAGTGCTTTAACGGAAACAATACGGACCTTTAAATCTCTGTGATAGACTCCCCTACTGTGGCAATAATCAACAGCATTAATAAGCTGCTGAAAATACTTCCTTGCCTCTTCCTCGCGCATCCGTCCGTGATTTACCTTTACACCAATAAATCAGGAGATAAACTTTAAATGATCAATCAAAGTCAAAAGTATCAAAAGACTGTAAGCACCAAAATAGGTTTGAATAGCTGCTCAAAAGCAGATAAAAACCAAATCTGGAATCAGCAAGAAAAAGATCGATACTTTTTTTTGAGTGACATGAAAAGGAAGAATCGGCCTTACAATTTTGTCAAATAACTCTCCACCTGTAACAAACTCCAAAACAATGAATATCTTTGTCTTGCTTCCCATCACCTGCGAGCAAATGAAATAGGGAAGTTATGCGCACATCTTACATTTTGTGAAGTTACGTTTTTTTCTTTCAAAGAGTGCTCGGGCCTTAGATTACGGCGTTTGAGATAGAAAAAGATATCAACTTGACACAAATTATGCACAATCA